ACATAAGTAACTATTCGTCTATTCGTATGATCGAAAATTGCGTTTTCTCAATCATTCCAATATTGGAATACTAAAGCAGTTTGTTCAAGACATTATTCGGTCTCAAAAGCCATAAATATGGAATAAAATACTTTACGCTGATAAATCATTGCCTGTTTGAGATTTGTGCTGGTTCGGAGCTTTTTCGATGTTTGAACAACTTAGGTAAAAACCATTTATATACGTTCTTAGACAAACTGTCAACAAATTGTTGATATTGAACTCTAATTTTCTTTCCTTTCTTCTTCTTTTCTTTTTTTCTTTCTACATCCTTAACATAGAACTTCATTCTGGCAATAAATTTGATTAATTGAAATTGTATATATGTCATATGTTCCTAGAAAGCCAAGGCATTTATTGACTGCAATCACTTTCTAGTCAATATTCAGTGTTTCAAACGTTTGTGATATTGAAATTAGAGTCATATAGTAGACCGCATCAAACTGAATTTCCATTGAAATCCTACAAAACACGTTACCTTGAAAAGAAGCAGCAAAATGAAATAAAATTAGTCTAATGCTCTTGCACAGCAAATTAATTATGCAGAAAAGGTTAACTCTACCATGTGGTCTTTTAATATCTTCCAAATATGATTTGCTTATTGTTCGAAAGTGCATTAATGCATTACGGAAATTAGCTTCAATATAAACAGATAATTACTATTATTTTAATATAGCGCAATTCTTTGATAGGCACAGTGAAGATAATTTCTCTCTCTTTCTTCTTCCTTTTTCTTCCCTCTCTCTCCTTCAGCTCCCACTTTCTTCCTCGATCTCCTTCCTCTCTCTCTCATCCTTCTTAACTCTCTTCTCCTTCTTTTTATTGACTTCTTCATTTTCTCTCGTAATCTTCTTCTCCTCCCCTACTTCTCCTTCTATCATTCTTGTTCTTCTTTTTCTCTCACACTTTTTCTCTGTCTTCTCCCTCTTTCTCCCACTCTTTCTTCCTTTCCTTCTCTCATTGTTCTTTCTCTTTCGCTTCTTCACTCTCGCTCTCCTTCACTTTCTCGCCGACCTGTCCCTGACATCCCCTGTTTTCCTCTCTCTTTTTTTCGCCTTTTTTTCTTGTTCTCTTCATTCTCTCTTTATCTCTAAATTTTCTCTCTCTAATATTCTCTTCTCTCTTTTGTATTTTCCTCTCCTTTCTCTTTCTCTCTCTTTCTCCATTTCACTCTCTAAATTCCTAGCACTCCCCTATTTTTCTTTTCCTCCATTTTCTATTCTCTCAACCCTCTCTTCCTCTGCTTTTACCTCAACTCGCTCTTTCCCTTTTGCTCCCAGTTCTTCGCTCTTACTTTTCTCTTCTTCTCTTCATCCCTTTTTGCCCTTTAAAAGC